CCAAGATCACATGTAGGAAAGACTTCATATTAGACAAGACAAGTCAGTGATTATGTTTTTCAGCTTTGTATACAACACTGATGACCTGATACATRGGATACATATATCACCCTTCTTTTTCACATTTAAATCCTTCAGTTGGGGTCTATGTAAAGTGGAACTGCAATGCTTTGGTCTGATTTCCTCATTACTGTAACTCCACAAGCCCCTCTTTCATCCCTTCAACAGAAGAATTGTTACGTGTTGGAGCCTGAGTCAGACCCAGAGCCAGAGCAGAATGAAGACAACCTTTAATAAAACWATCGCTAAATAAAACATTGAGCCTGGGGCCAAAGCACTGTGAGTGAGTTCAAAGGTGAGTGAACTGATGATTGAGCTAAAGCGTTTGCTTAGTTTATATGGKACCAACGTGACGGGATGGGGATCAACAGGGGTCAGCTTGGAACATTTCAGTGGATCCCCACATGATAAGAATACTAATATGCTTTAATGTGTAACTGTTCAGGGACGCTCCGTTTAGCTCCTTGACTGGAAAAGCTTTAATGCCTGCTGAACCTGCACTGGATTCACATAAACTTCAATTCAGGAAGAATAAATCAAACTTAAGCTATAAAGAATATATTACAGGTTCTTGTTCTGTTTGCAGCTATACTTCACTCTGCTGGCCGTATTGTATAATGCATCACAAACTAAAAACAGTCTGGATATCTTGACATTGCACAAATGTGAGATAGATTTTCCTTTGCAAAGATGCTAAACTATGAGGTAAACAGAAACTTATAAGATACTCTGTGATTGTAGAGTTTTTTTTCCAGCTATAAAACTAATATGACCATAAAAAACTAAATTCAAAAGTTGAGCCAAAATCATTCAAGAATGCTATAAGCTGACAAATAGATTTGTTATAAATGAAAATAATCCAAAATCTTTAGTTGTTTTAAAGATCCAAAGTGTAAAGATTAAATGTTAGGGTTTTTCAAAAGATTGCACAATAATTATCCCCAATATAGTCATAGAAAACCCCATTTTGGTGTTCTTTATCTTCCTTCTTTGTCCGTCAACCTTCCTGGGTGGTTCGTACATGTGCTCAGCTCACATACAATGAGCACGTGTGTTTATTTAGTCAGTGTATATGAGGAACAGAGCCTTGGCCCCTGCCAGTTTTCTTTAAACTGAGAAAATATGCTTTTGGACAGATGTGGAACAGGGCGCCGTTAAACAGACTTCGAGGCCAACAGACACAAAGTCTCCACCTTCCACAGATCAACCACCTGAGAAACGGACACTTTTAAATGCTGCTGCTTTTATCCCATTGCTGCACTATATTTTTCTCAATGTGACAGTGTAGTGGTAATAGAAGCCAGCTGAATTCTTTTTTTTTAGTTAAATATTAAAACTGTCACCTGTGTGAACAAATAAATTAGTAACACAGTAGATGTCCTGATGCATCTCAGTAATCCAGGTAAAAAATCAAAAGGAAAAAAATTGTATAGGTCCTCTGGACGGGTTCTTCTTTAATGAAACGTTTCACAGTAGATGTTTATCATCCATCAAACCATATAATTTAGAACACGTTGGAGAAGGGACAACATATGGATGCAAAAAAGATGAGAAAAAATGTGAACATTTTGCAAAGATTTAGGTTACTTGTCAACAGATGAGCGAGAGGACTGGGTGCAAAAAGGCTGACTTGCTCAGAACTAAAGATGGGCAGAGGTTCCCCATTCTGCAAATACTCATAAATAGCTTATATTTTTAAATAAAATGATTTGAAGTGTGAGCTTAAGCAGAGGCGTGCCATGATTTTAAACGCCACACACATTTGTTAAAGCAGCAGTTTTAAATATGTMTTTTTCTTTCCTCGGTGTACTCAAGGCCGCCGTGCAAGTGTTGAACTGGAGCTGTGAAAATGTATGGGCCGAGTGACTGAAGTGGGGGGTGGTGGGTGGGGGTGGAGTAAAGAGCTCTGAAAAAAAAGGAGGAGGGTGTAGGAGTTCTGGGTTGGGCTGCTGCTGGGGGGGAGGGGGAGGGGGAACAGAAGGAGGAGGGGAATACCACCCACCAAGGCAGTTGTGCAGAAGTTCTGGGGGTTGGGTTGCCCACAGGAAACAGTTGTGGCTCCATCCCAGGCCTCACACCAAGCAAACCTGGGCCACCCAGTCATTGGCAGACAGACCCACCAAATGGCCCGGACAGTCGACCGACAGGGATTTATTTATTTTTCATCCCTTGGTGGCGGGGGCAAAATTGCTTTGCACAAGCTGTTTATTGGAGCTTTGATTTGTCATGTGTCAGCGTTTGCTTGTGGGGAATGTGTATACACGAGTCAAACTTGTGTATAGTTAGGAGCTTTGGAGGGGGGTTGGATGTGAAGCCTCCCACACTGAAGGCAAAGGCTGAACTGCATTGTGGGTCATTCTCCAGCTGTCGCTGATTGTTGATGTCACGGGAGACTGGATTGCAGAAGGTGTGGGAAGAGACAGACAGCATGTGGACAAACAGGATTCCTGTTTTCACATGGATGAAGGACAGAAGGGGCAAGAAAATGAGCTGCGTTTAGCAGAATTGGGGCACATACAAAGAAAACAAATCTCGCCACAAGTCATACTTGTTAGATTAATGTGTGATGTGGAGCATTAAAAAAAAAATCATTCTCATTTTGTGACATCAGTTCATGCCACAACAGATGACACATCTTGGGAGTGATTCTCAGACAAATTGCTATGTTGTTGCCCAATACAAGTTCTGCTTTAAACTGAAACGTCAGCTTTAGTTGCTTCAGAAGTTACAAATACATGACTTTACTTCTGTGACAAGAACATCTTGAAACCTTAGAAACAACTTTGTGCAAAATATCATGTGATGTTGTGAGAGCTCACAAGATCTGCTTGTGGTTTATGTTGAGAATAGCTCACATAACTACTACAAGAACAAATTTTAACCAAATCTCTATAAAACTGTCAGAAATATAGTAGTTTGTRTGATTTCTATAATCATTGTCTGTAACCGATTTATTGAATTGGGCTGACTGTAAAAGTTAATCAGTTGTRGATGTACACCAACTGATTAATTTTTGAAAGTTTCATTAAACTTTGTCTACTGTCTCATGAGATATTTTGCTAACAGATAACACTGACTCCTCTAGTTAATGGTAGATTTTAGAGTGATACTTTGTAACCAATTAAATCTCTAAATAATGTTTGGTGTCAATGTTCAGTGAGTACTGTCAAATTTTT